TTTTTAACAAAGACAATAGTGCTTTCAGTAAATTCTACAGATATTTTATGAACAAAAAATAAAATCATTTATTATCTTTTAAATTACCTTCCATGAAACGAGACAAACAAAACCATCGATTTTTCCAAAACAAAGCCAGCAATCCGCATTACTTTAACATCATTTACCATCATCAGATTTAAAATGGAGATGGCATTATACTAATTAACATTTGAAATACATTACGTGCACACAATTACCACCAAGCACAGGCAAAACTAAATTTGGGAGAGGGGGAGGGGAAGGAATACCTCCGTGCAACTTGTTACGTCAATGAAATAGCTTTCTCCAATACTCACTGGCAACAGCAATGACAGGAAATGTTGGTGTAGGGCTAATGACTGATCTGCGATAAAATGCCAATCCCGTTTCCGACCACAAATAACGGTTGTTTCGTTTGTTCCTTCTATTTTTTTTTATTCTATTTTGTGCTGTCCCCCTATCTCTGCTATCGACCAGCCTCCCATTTCCCAGTGGAGGTTTCCTACCTCCTTCCCAATAATTTTTGTGGCGCGCTGGTACCGAGTTTTAGAGGTGGATCTATTGGAGCACCACTGCAGGTATCGGAGATAAAATACATAAAGACCAGGGCGAGACAACATAACTGATACAGATCTTAACGGTTAGCGGTTGGGGCTTTGTTTTATTTCTTCTTCCTCCGTTGCAGAGTTAGGGTGGTTCTGGCTCTTCCCTCGGCGCATCGGTTTCTGATCGGAAGAAAATGTTAGAGATTGAGAATTTTCTGAGTGTTGGTAGTAGTGGGAGGAAGAAACATCTGCAAGTAGTTGTTCAAAACACTGAAAGTGATTTCGGATTTGCCGGTGCAGTCGTAAATAAAACGAGTTTGTTTTAGAGATGGGTCTTCTCTGACAAATGTATCGGGGGGATTTAGTGTTAGATTTGGTTTTAGGAAAATGCAGTTCAAGATGCACAGAAAAGAAATGATTTCAGAACGAAAGCAATCAATACAATATATTTATATTTCGATACCCAAAATGTATACTAAAACACACCTATTAAAATTGTTTTGCATTATATATATGAAAATTACATGGATAGTGTATATATATATAGCATCCATATAACTATCCTATATGTAATCCAAAACCGTATTTAACTATTATTTCAAAAATAAAGATAAGATTTATCTCTTCTAACATTGGCACTAATGTAGAATATTTAATCTTTAACGGTAAAGATTATCTTTAAAAATGTAAATGTTTCAGTTTGGGGTAATAAATACACAAAACAAAGTTTACATTTATTGATAAGTTGAAATTTCCGATATTTAGGAGCTTAAAAAATCATATTTATTATGATTAATGATATACAGGGAGATCATAATTAAAGTCCCACTTTCAAAATGTTGTAAAAAAAGGATGAGTTCAAATTTGAACCGAAAATACTTAAAAAAGGTGGGAACGGTACGGCATCAAAAAAAGTTCCATAGTATATTAATAGATGGCGCTATAAGAGGCATAAAGAAAGTAAATTCGAACTGCCAGTGATATTTTGAATGGACTCGTATAGAGTTTTAGAGGTGGATCTATTGGAACACCACTGCAGGTATCGGAGATAAAATACGTAAAGACCAAGACGAGAGAACGTAACTGATACAGATCTTAACGGTTAGCGGTTGGGACTTTGTTTCATTTCTTCTTCCTGCTAGCAGAGTTAGGGTGGTTCTAGCTCTTCCTTCGTCGCATCGGTTTCTGATCGGAAGAAAATGTTAGAGATTGAGAATTTTCTGAGTGTTGGTAGTCGGAGGAAGGAACATCTGCAAGTAGTTGTTCAAAACACTGAAAGTGATTTCGGATTTGCCGGTGCAATCGTAAATAAAACGAGTTTGCTTTAGAGATGGGTCTTCTTTTCCAAATGTATCGGGGGATTTACTGTTAGATTTGGTTTTCGGAAAATGCAATTCAAATTGCATAGGAAAGAAACGATTTCAGGATAAACACACTATATTTATATTTTGATTCCCAAAATTTATACTAAAACACATCTGCTAAAACTATTTTGGATTATATGTATGGTTGTCAAATGGATATAGTATATATCATTTGCCATATACTGAGGGATAATAATTAAAGTCCCATTTTCAAAATGATGAAAAGAATAAAAAAAGCCACTCATGACAATGAGTTCCAATTTGAACTGAAGAAATTTGAAGAAGGGGGGAACGGTATGGCATCGAAAAAGTTCCACCCAGTTTTCCCATACAATATGGACGTGACTGTTGGAAATATGGACATAACTGTTGAATGACTTGGAAGTCACTTTTTCCATCAAAAACCCGAAACAATCAAACACATTGAACACTAAGAGTTGATTTAATGTGCAGCTCATGCCAAATACGTTGTAATTTCGATTCAAAATATCACTGGCAGCCGAATTCACTTTCTTTATGCCGCTTACAGCACCATCTATTATTACAATTCGGAACATTTTTTGAGGCCGTACCGTTTTTTTGATTCCCAAAATATAAACTAAATCACATATGTTAAAATTGTTTTGGATTATAAACTGTGTCAAAAAGAGATTTGATTGCCCAAGAAAGAATTGAGTCGATTGAAGAGACATTTCAAAAATTGCCGGAATCAGTTTTAGCGTCTCACAAAGTCAAGCGTAACTCAAACACTAAAAAATATTTTGACGCCAAATTTTACACAGGTATCAAGGACAGTGCCAGTAACCTAAAAAAGAAAAAAATTGAAATTCCATATGGAGCCTCGAGAATTTTAAATTGAAAATTCGTCTTTCTTTTGGACACAGTAGTATATGATAGTCATATGGAATTATATAGATTATTTAAGATACATATCATTAATCAGAGTAAATAGGAATTTTTAAGCTCATAAAAATCGGAAATTTAAATTTATCAAGGAATTTAAACATTGTTTTGAATATTTATTATACAAACTGAAATTGTTCTAAAATTTATTTTAATATAATCTTGACCGTTAAAGATTAAAGATATTCTACATTAATACAGATGTTAGAAACAAGAAATATTACATTATTTTGGGGATAATAGTTAAAGATATAAAAAAAACTTTTTAACAAAACACACTACGTAATCAAAACACAATTAATCCCTCTTCATGTAAATTTTATCAAATAGTGTGATTCACAAAGAAGGTTGAAAAAAAAATGTTGAAGAAACTAGTTTTTAACACAATTTTAGATTTTTAAATTGCTTATATTTACTTGTAAATAACAAATACATTAAATACGATTCTTGAAAGATTATTTATAACACACTAATTTTTAATGGAAATGAAAAGCATTTGCACATATTTTGTTAGAATAAATAACAGAAGAAATGGATATTTGGAAAATATTATCTAAATGTTGTACATTTGAAATAACACAGATATAAAACAAAATTTGATAAGATTAAAAAATAAATATTTGAATTTTTCAAATTTATTTCTACAACTATAAAAATTAATTCTGCTATTTCCAAATTATTCGCCTTATTATTCATTCAAGCAATTTTTTAAATATAACTATAGTTCAAATAATGATAATCTAAAAGTTCAAATATTTATAATTTTATTCACAAAGAAAGTTTTAAAAAGAAATTGGATTTTATTGAAATTTACCAAACGCTATGTGAATATAAATAATTTTATAATTTTTATATTAATTATTATTTTTATATCATTTATAACATATTAAATATTTTTCTACGTTGAAACATGATAGGGTATTAATTTTAATCCTTTGATTAAATGCATTTGCTAGCCCAAAATGTATGCTCCCGCCAAATTAAAATTGTAATTTATTTAAATTACTATTACACATTAGAATACGCCTACTTGAACAGAATAAACATCTTAAATCTCAACTTTCCACAGACGACAGAGTTCTAATTAGTATGACAGAGTTGACCTGCGTTAATTGAGCCAAACTAAACAAGGCGCAGAACAAATATTTGGCCGCATTTAGCTTGGGATGGATGCCTTACGGTATTTATTACTTTTTTAAAATCACATTTAACTTACAAAGTACACAACCAGATACTTTATTTAGTTTTTATTTAAACAAGTGGCTCTGATATTTATAAGAGGGAGTTTTTAATAATAGACTGATATAAAATATAATTAAACTTGTTTTAAATAATTTTTAGCTGCCTTTAAATAATTTGAAACAAAGGCAAATTATTTATTGAAGTGGGATAATAAATGAATTTATAGTTAAATATATACTATATATGTTAAATATTTATAGTCTGCAACGTTTGATAAACAAACACTTGAATATAAATAATAATATTATATCAGAAATATTTTCATTAAAATATCATTTAATTTAATGCAGCATTAATATAATTATTAATATTCATTAATATCATTTATTTATATATATATACTCGAGCGATATATATATATATATTCTGTATTAGGCTGTTCAGGCTTCGTACTCGATATATATATATATATATATCGAGCACGAGTTCGAAGTCTGAACAGCCTAATACAAACTAGCCTTGAAAAAGGCATGTCGTGTCGGCTACACTAATGAAAGCTGTTGCTCATTTACAACTAACCAGTGGGCACGTGTAGCTTGAAGACATGCTACAGACACGAGTAACACTACTCCCACAACGCTCTACGGTTATATTAGACACAGATCAATTGTTTAAAGTGGATTTCGAACCAATAAAAGCATCCATGGCACAGCCGGGTCTCAAACCAGAAAATCTGTGGCACCGAGTGCCAGAGCGTTTGTCCCTCGGCCCTCAGACACCAATTTTTGTAATTAGCTTTTGAAAAATACTACCCTCAAAATAATCATATATTTGTAAGTGCTTTCATAAAATTCTTATAATGTGGTTTAAAATTTAAATTTATAATTAAAAATTTACAAATAATTTATTAAAACGGAAGCAAAATTGTCATTGTTATTTTTGTTAATGAATGTTATTTTTGTAGAATTAATAAATATTCCCAGCCAACGGCCATACCATGCTGAATATACCGGTTCTCGTTAGATCACCGAAGTCAAGCATCATTGGGCGCGGTCAGTACTTGGGTGGGTGACAAGCTGGGAACACCGCGTGCCGTTGGCATTCACAAATCTGGGACCTGAATGGCCGAGTGTCTAGCGCTCTGGCGCTCGGTGACACAGGTTTCCGGTTCGAATCCTGGCGGTGCCATGGATGTTTGTAGTGGTTCGGAATCCACTTTAAGCCGTAGGTCCCGGTCTCCTATGACTGTAAGAGCGTCACGGAGCCAAAGTCAGACTTCTACCTACGGGTGCTCCATCACAATAGAAGCTGCTTCCTTCCCCTTCAATCATGAGTATGTATGGGCTCGTGGGCTTGGCCAGCCAAGTGGGATAAGAAACAACAAACAACAACAACAACAACATAAATATTCCCCAAATTCTTGATTTTATGCTTTTTTTTTTCACAGTGCCCAAGACAAAAATTATACAGCTTTTTTTGCATGACTACTTTATATTGCATGATATATTTTCGAATTTTGAAGTAAAAGAGAAAAGTAAATGCATTACACTACAGATGAAAACTGCCATTTCAAGTACATTTAAAGAAGGGCCCTTTAGTTGTAACATTTCGAGTGATTTCGAATGTTCCATCGATTTATTGAAGTGAAAAAGGCCTAATTTGAATTTAAATGGAATGTCAAAATGCCTTTTCTTCAAATTACATTTCTACAGTTGCCCTAAACCGTCCAAGATTAAAATCGATACAAAGATTTCAGAAATTTTTCTCCGTCGTTTGTTTTCGGTGCATGTTCAAATAAAGCCTGTTTAAGGGAAAGTGATGAGTTTTTAATGACTTCCTCAGTAAAACTCAGTAAAAGAGGAAATTCGTGCATTCTTGTTTTGACCTACATATGAGATAACTATGGTATTTTGCAGCTAAGATCTGGAGGTTTATAAAATTCATTTAAACTGAGAATTTTAGAAACTTCTACATGTCTGCATATTTTTTTTTATTAATATACCAAAAAGAGAGGCTTTGTGATAATTATTTTATCAAACTTTAACTTACAAAGTAGGTTCTGTAAATTCCAACTTTATTCAGTATTTGCAGTTTCACTTAGTAAATATTTTGCTATCAAATATATGCTCAAATTATGAGATATACTAGCATGCTATTTTTATGGAATATTTTACAATTACTCCTATTGAAATTTATTAAAGGACTTAAGTTAAGAAATAAAATTAATATTTTAAGCTAACCTTTTTTTTTTTTTTTTTTTTTCTGTATATTATCTGGTTCAAACAAAATTATTAGTGAAAAATTTTAACTTGGAGTCTAAAATAGAAGTTTTGGTAGTCCTACGCCTTGTTTTGACCTACATATGAGATAACTATGGTATTTTGCAGCTAAGAGCTGGAAGTTTATAAAATTCATTTAAACTCAGAATTTCTAAAAATTCTACACGTCTGAGTAATTTTATTTTATTTATATACGAAAAAGATAGACTTTGTAATAATTATTTTATCAAACTTTACTACTTTTTAAAATCTTCTTTGTGAATGAAATTTACATGAAATGGGATTAATTGTGTCTTGATTAAGTAATGCTTTTTTTTTTTTAGTTTCTCGCTTCTAATATTGGCACTAATGTAGAATATCTTTAATATTTAACGGTAAAAATTATCTTTAAATCTTTTTTTAAAAAGTTTCAGTTTTGGTTAATATACACAAAACAATGTGTAAATTCACGAATATATTAAAAATTTCAACTTTTAGAAGCTTAAAAATTCATGTTTATTGTGATTAATGATATATATCGTAAATAATCTACATAACATTTGTGTAATTATCCTATATATATAATCCAAAGCAATTTTAACAGGTGGGTTTTAATATAAATTTTTGGAATCAAAATATAAATATAATGTGTTGATTTCAACATTCTTTGTGATAAAACTCTTTAATAAAATTTACTTGAAGATGATTAATTGTTTTTTGCTTAAGTATTGCGATTTTTATTTTTTTACATATTTAACAATTATCCAGAGAATAATGAAAGATAAAGAGAAAATTCATGCATTCTTGTTTTGACTTAAACTTTACGAAATTCATTTAAGCTCAGAATTTTAAAAAATTCTACCCGTCTGCATATATTTTTTAAATTTTGTATGCGAAAAAGATAGACTTTCTGATAATTATTTTATCTAATATTAACTTACAAAAGAGGTTCAGTAAATTTCAACTTTATTCAATGTTACAGTTTCTCCTACTAAATTTTATATTAAATATGTGTTCAACCTATTAGACTAGCAAGTTATTTTTATGGAGAATTTTACAATTACTCTAATTGAAATTTATTACACTATCTATATTAAGGACTAAAATTAATATTGTAATCTAATTTTTTTTGTCAATAAATTCGCCAGTTCAAACAAAATTATTAGTGAAAAGTTTTAATGTGGGGTCTAAATTCGAAGCTTGGTACTTTTCACACATCAAATATAGAGGAGAAGAAATGACTGTTTGAATATATAAATATTAAGAACATATGAATATTCAAATCATTACATAACATGCGCGTCTTTTAAAATTTATTTTAAAATAAAATTTTTATTTATGTTGTTCGAATATTGAAATGATGGGATTTATTCCAGAGAGATCTATTCTATAATATATATATCTACTTATAAGCGAAAGAAATACATGCTATGGCTGAAACAAATGGAATATAAATTTTTTTCATTCAAAAAGGCAAAATAAAGAAACTATGTTAAACAATTCGTCAATAATATCACTATCCCTCTGCAGTACAAAACACATTTTTCTGTCACCGACATCCAAGTTTGTCACAAATACGGGTATGTCACTAAAATAGTGGCTGACAACGACACAACATATTTCAATGTCATCAGATCAAGCTGCTTCGATGTATTTCTTCTCCCAGATTTTTCATATGTTATCGACAAAATGTTCTTCTGCGAGCTGCATTTTTCGTTTTCCACAGGGTGAAGGGAAAGGCAAAATCTCAACATTTTCTTGTGCTGTTGTTGTTCTTTGTTTTTCCTTCAAACAAAAAAGAATGGCGGCTTATAAAACTTACAACCAATAGAATACATTTTCGGATTTTACATTCCAATTGTTTCTTGTTGTTCCATCTTATTTTTTGCTCCTTGTGGAACTTTTCGATACACGTTATCGAGAGAATGGAAGACCACTGTTCCATATTTTCCACTATCGACATATTATATGAGAAAGGTATAGGTACCATCGACAACATGGGAGAGAAAAATGCCGGAGAACTATCGGTTATGAAGGAATCAATATCTTTTTTATTTCTTTTTTCTGGTATAAAACCGTGGTAGTCAGAGATGATGTAGTAAGATTATTTTTCTTTTTCTTGGCGAGATTTAGAAGTTTATAAATTCGAATCGAGTGAATGGTAGATTTCTTTTCATGATTCCCGATAACTAGCTGGATATAGAAATTACTTCAGAAAACATATTTATCGATATTTGTTTATTTATTTTATCCATTATTTGTAGAATTCATAAGCGTTGCTAAATAAAATATAACAAGAGTGGAAATGTACAATATTTTGAAACGAATTTAAATCAATTTACTTTACACCACAATTTATCTTAATTCATGTAGTTTCCCTTCCAGTTATGAAACTGAGAATGGTAAGAGTAATATGAAATTACATACTAAAATATGAGTATTTTTTAACTCTCTCTGATCTTATTATCTTACTTATCATGAGTATATAAAGGAATATGAATATTTTTTTACTCTTTAGGCATATCTGATAATTTTAAGTAATATATATTTTTTATTTTCTTGTATAAGCATTATGATGTTCGGATATGAGATCTATGTCATCCCTAAAAGGCGTCAGAAGAAAATATTTAAGTGTATAAGTTATTTTTTAAACTGATTCATCTAATCTCGCAACGCGAGAAACTTTCATGTTAAAGCCTTTTTTTTTAATGTGCTGTAATTTGTCACTGCATTTTCATAACATGTGTTTTAAAATTTACGTGATATATGTGTTCTTACGATTAACGATTTGCAAATATCAAATCAACTATTACGTATTTCGTTTTGAATAGTCTCGCTTTAAAAATATTTTTCAACTTTTACAAAATGTTGTATAAATATCGAGACAGTTTATGAAAGTTAATTTAAAAGTCATTTAACTTTATATATTTAATTTTAGTTGATAATATAAATGATTAAATATGTTTAATCAAGGCGAATTCAAATTCATAAATAATTTGTTTGTTTGTTTTCTATCACTAATGTTTACTCCGTTTTAAATTGTCTTCGTCAATTTAACTGAAACTACGCATAGCCATCTATGTCTATTAACTAGAAAGGAACGAAATTTCGGAGGGTGCCATAAGAAGGAAATTTGCAAGAAAACAAATACTAATTCCAAAGGTCACCACTAGAAGGACTATGGGTGTTGCCAGACTTAAGCAGCTTATGAGAAACATACTAATGAGTCAAAGTTGAACTGAATTCAAAATATAACTTTTTATTAAATTTTTGAAGTAACTTTTATTAATATATTTGTATAAATATATATGAGATTATCTGGGAAATCTGATATGAGATTTATGTAATCCCTTAAGAGGCATGAGAAGAAAAAATGTAAGTGTATAAGTTATTTTTAAATGAGATTCATGTAATCTTGCAATACGAGAAACTTCTATTTCAAAGACCTTTTTCATGGCATTTTCATAACGTGTTTTAAAATTTGCTTGATATATGTGTTCATATGATTAACGATTTGCAAATATCGAATCAACTATTACATATTTTGTTTTGAACAGTCTCGTTGTACGAATATTATTTTTCAACTTTTACAAAATTTTGTATAAATATCGCGAAAGTTTGTGAAGGTTAGTTTAAAAGTAATTTAACTTTATATATTTAAGTTTCGTTGATAATATATGATTAAATATGTTTAAACAAGACAAATTCAAATTCAAACACCCTTCTTTTTTTCTATCTCCAATGCTTACTCTGTATTAAATTGTCTCTCTTAATATTCTTCTTGTCTAGAAAGGAACGAAATTTAGGAGGGTGCCATAAGAAGGAATTTCCCGCGAAAA